GGAAGTGACTAAGAGGATCTTGAACTCTGCTTGGAAAAAACTGTGGCCAGAATGTGTAGACAAAAGGGATGTTGAAGGGTTTCAGGCTAACCCTGAGAATCCTGAGGAATACATTGTTGCATTGGGGAAGTCCTTGGGGTTGGAGGTTAGTGGGGAGGATGTGGAAGAGTTGGTGGAGGAGGACAATGACGAACTAACCACTGATGAGCTGCTAGATCATCTTCAACAGCAAGAGGGCAGACCTGAGGAAACTGCTTCGGAGGAGGGGAGAGAGAAATTGAAGAAGTTACCTACTTCAAAGATTAGGCAAATGTGTGCAAAGTGGCTTGAAGTGCAAACCTTTTTTGCTGAAAATCACCCTGACACAGCTACTGCAAGCCATGCTGGTGACTATTACACTGACAATGTTATGAACCACTTTAGGAAAGTCATAAAGGAACGAGAGGTACAGGCCTCTATGGACAGATATGTTGTGCGACAGAAGTCCAGTGACTCTCAAGCTGGTCCTAGTGGCATTAAAAGAAAAAGGGAAGTAACCCCGGAAAAAGACTTGATACCTCAAGTCCTAATGGAAGGGGATTCCCCTACTAAACACTAACACCATCCACACTCTCCCCTCCTCCTATCCCATCAATCATCACCAGATCTTCATTAAAGGTAAGTGCCAATTATTCTATTGTTATTGATCTATTGTTATTGTTGTTATTATAATTATTCTATTGCATTAAACTTAATATTTCATGTGGTAAATTTTTTTTTTTCATACTTTTGGGTGTCTTGCACGGATTAATTTGATTTCCATTATTTCTTATGGGGAAAATTAATTCGACTTTCGATATTTTTGACATTCGATGAGCTCTCAGGAAGGAATTAATATCGAATGTCAGGGGTCCACTGTATTGAAGAGTGGTATAGGGTAAGGAGTGTCGTTTGTTGTACATTGTATCGTATCTTGGAAAGGATGCCTACTGATTTGGAAATTTTCTTGGATATGTGTTGGATGTGGGAATGAAATTTAAGATTACAGTCAAGGACAAGACCTAGAAATTTACCCTCAGTGTATCTTGATATAAGGGAATCATTTATCGAAAAATTAAGTTGGATACTTAAGGCCCTGTTGCCAAACAGCATGAAGTACGTTTGGCTATATTGAGAGTGAATTTGTTGGTCATCATCCAAGTATGTATTTTTAGCAGCTCGTTGTTTACAATGTTTCTAAATACAGCTGGGTTCGAATGGTAGTACACATAAGTTGTAGTGTCATCTGTGAATAGAACTGGTTTGAGGAGTTGGTTTGCATTGGGGAGATCATTGATGTAGATGAGAAAGAGGAGTGGGCCTAGGACACTACCCTGGGGTATTCCTACCCCAGGGTAGTGTCCTAGGAGTACTCCATTTGCATATACATACCGGTGTCTGTCGCTAAGATAAGATTTTAAGTAATCAAGGGAATGTCCTCTGATGCCATAGTGATTTAGTTTTAGGTGTAGGAGATTGTGGTTGACTGTATCAAATGCTTTTTGTAGGTCAATGAGGAGCCCCAGAGGATATTCATTTTTATCAAGAACTGTATATATTAGTTCAAGCATTTGTATAACAGCATCATTCGTACATTTTTTTGGTCTAAACCCAAACTGGCAGGAGTTAAGTATGTTGTTGGATATAAGGTAGGAGTAAAGTCGTTTGTGTATTATTTTTTTGAATATTTTGGAAAGTAAGGGCAAATTTGATATGGATCTGCAGTTGTTCAAGTCAGTTGGATTACCTCTTTTGAGGATCGGGATAACCTTTGCTGACTTGAGTATGGATGAGAAGGTTGAAGATGCTATAGATTTGTTAAACATTGTTGCAATAATGGGTAACAGCACATGTACAGCTTTTTTATATATGAATGGTGGCAAGTTATCCAGATCTCCTGCTTTGTTTTTTTAACCCTTAAATGGTCCAAACGTATATAAAAGTTCACCTGCGCAGCGCCCCGAATATTTTGAGAGAAAAAAGTAGTTATTTTTATAGGAAAAAAGAGCATGTGGTACCCAGACATCCCTAATTTTTTCATATGGTGCACACTGAGTGTGCACACCCATTCTCTCATGTCTTGACGACTCAGGCCTATCGTGCCAATGTTGAATGAATGACAAATGAAACGTATATATACGTTTGGGGTGCTACGCGAGAGAACGTATATACAGTGGTCTCTTGTTTATCGTCGTTAATCCATTCCTGGAAGTACAACGATTATCGAAATAGACGATTTTCAAATAAATTTTCCCCATAAGAAATAATGTAAATACAATTTATCAGTTCCTGACATCCAGAAATATTAAACAAAAATTTTTTTTACATGAAATATAGATGTATGTAGTACATAAACAATACAATGGGACATGATGAATGAAACATTAGCAGCATAACACTTATCTTTATTGACGATTCTTCTTAGTGTATGGAAGACTGGAGGAGGAGAGAGATTGGATTAGTTACTGTTTGGAAGGGGACTCTCCTTCCATCAACACCTCAGGTACCAAGTGTCCAGAGAGCTCTGTTTCTGGCATCTCTTTAAAACTTCCCTAAAATGGGCCAAGAGTCTGTCACTGTACAAGTTGTCGATATGGCTTGCAACATCCTTCTCAGGATGATGTTTGTCCATAAATCTTTCCATCCTACCCCACATTTCAAGAATCTTCTTAATTTCTGAAGAAGGCACCTTCTTCCATCTCTCTTCCTCCTCCTCTGCAGCAAGATTCTGAGCTGCGATCTGTTGCTGTTCCTGCTGAAGCTCTTGCAGCTCCTCAGTGGTTAGCTCTTCGTTGTGGTCCTCCACCAACTCCTCTACATCCTCCAAACTCACATCCAACCCCATGGAACTCCCCAATGCCACAAAAGATTTCACAACTGACATAGGCTCATCAGGGTCAGCCACAAACCCTTCAAAATCCCTCTTGTGGACACAAACTGGCCACAATTTTCTCCAAGCAACAACAGCTTCCTTGATTTCCTTTTTCTTTGCCATGATGGAAGAATTGGTTGTATGGGGTTTGTTATACATCCTGGCCAGTTTGGCCACACGTACGCCACTTTCATATTGTTCAATGATGTTTTTTTCTTAAATTCAATCATATTTCTCACCTTCTTTACCAAAGGCTTGGCCCTAGGAGCTTTCTTTGGAGCCATGGTAGCTTATTTAGCACTTGCAAGCACTAAAATGAATGGAATATTATGAAATATTTCGTATGAACAAGTGAGGGGACTGTCGCTCACCGGTAAACAATGGCACACTGGCTGGGAAGGGAGGCCGAGGTGGCTCAGAGCCGTGAATACGCGTCCAGGACGAACGATGATTAGCGAGTCAACCGACCATTTGCAAACTAATGTTTGGACGAAAATAAAGCGACGATTTCCGAAAAGTATGATTATCCAGCCCAACTATTATTGAGGGACCACTGTATACGTTTGGGCTGTTTAAGGGTTAATGATTTAATGAGTGAGACTTCAGTAGAATTAATTGGAGCTAGATATAGAGTATGTATTTGGGTAGTTGACAGTGAGGTAATCTTTCGGCTGGGTATTTGAACTAGGAATTTTACTTGCTAGTTTTGATCCTACAGTAGAGAAGAATACATTAAATTTGTTGGCCGTGTCTATAGGCTGTATGTGAGGTTTATCTGGTTTAGTTAAGTTTATCTCTCCGTTTCCTGATGGTTTCCTAGAGCCCAAAATTTTGGAGAGGGTTTGCCAGGTACTTTTCATATCACCTTTTATTTCACTAAATCTGTTTTCATAATACAGTTGCTTTGATTTTCATATTAGCTGTGTATTGATGTGTATCATTTAGCCAGTTCTTTAGTAATCAGACCTAATCTGAACTGTTTTTCAAGTTATTGCTTTTTATCAATAGATTTGAGGATACTATTTGTTAGCCATTTTATTGGTAGTCATCCAGTTAAGGTTACACACTTCATGGCATCATCACTTGCTTTAGAGGCCATTGTAAATAGCACTGTACATAGTACCTTAATAAAATGATTAAAACACAGTCAATCCATGGAGAAATTGGAGACACGTGTAAAATGATGTAAGTGTAGAGGCAGACACTGACGTGGGCAGTCACTGACCCTACTGCCCAAGAACAATGAAAGTGGATGTGTCCAGCAGGAACCTCAAACTATACAAACTTCTAATTTAGCAGAGTTGGTCAAATTATGGAATACACTTCTGGACCGGATAGCCATTTGATGTAGTGGATTTGGTCTGCTTCATGGCTATTTTTATCATACACCCTATTAAATATACATGTTTAGTCTCCATTTGGCCAGATTTTTTGTAAATTTTAGCTGACACCCACCTTATAGGAGTCCATTTTATTGGTTGTTTACTGTATGCAGAGAATTTGGAGCTGGAGATTAGGTGTGGGGTTACCATACTTATTCAGAGGGTTGAGGTGGTTTGGATTAAGTAAAATAGGATAACTAGAAGGGTGTATAAATTTGGGGTTGGAAGGTAGAAAGGATAGGAGCCATTCCATAAAAGACTGACAGGATGGGGTGTAGGAGGTTTTGAAGTCAAGGGGCTTGAACATCCAACAAGTTTGTGTGAGTACGTTAGGAATGAATGGAGTTGAAGTGCTGTTGGAGTGTGAGCAAGGTGACATGAATGGATCTGGGGAAACAGGTTAGCCAGATTTGAGTTCTTTAGGTGGGAAGTACAGTATGGATCTGGGGAAACAGGTTAGCCAGATTTGAGTTCTTTAGGTGGGAAGTACAGTATGTGCAGTTTGTAGAAGAGGTTCAGATATTGTGGTTTAAAGAGCCATATGAGCCTTGATATCACCATGCTTCTGGCAAGATAGTAATTGAATGAATGACAGTGAGAGTTTTTTTCTTTTTTGAGGTCATCCCTTTCTTGGTGGGAAAAGGCTGGTTTGTTAAAAAAAAATTAAGTAAATAATATATGTAATCATATTAGAGCAACACTTTTATATTGTATTTTCATATTTTCAGTTTTATGAGATGAATCATTTGATTGAGCACAGTACTACTTGACCCAAGGAGTCTACAGTTATTCTCAGCACCAACACCAGTGTATAGCTGACTATCCAGAATGAAGGAATCCTGTTTGCCTGGTCCCAGCAGCAAACCAAAGACACTCCACAGCCTTGTACTCATCCGATTGTCTCATCTGCTGCTGGAGAATGCTGTCCCACCAAGTTTAAAAAAGTACTTGCCTTTCTTGAACATGGTTGGTCGCCTGCAGTTGTTACCCAAATGCCCCCATATGAACCTGGGTACAAGTGCAGAAGAGCAGCAGCAGCACAACGAAGGGGTGCTTACTGCAGGTGCTGAAGATGAAACTGTTCTAACTGGTACTTTTGATTACTCCATAGATGATATCATCTTGTCAGAGCCAGGAAGATGTAACGATCGTCTTCTTGTTTATAAGGAACTATTACTGGTAAGTCTTTCATATGTTATTGTAAATATTCTGTAGCTGTATTATATGTACAGAAAGCCTCCAACATACGAACACCCCAAGTTACAAACATTCACCCTTTAAAAGAAGGCACTTAATTAATTTTTTTAAATAGTAAAGCATAATCACTCTTGTTTTTTCCCCTTAAAAAGTCACTATGTAAGTTGAAGCAACAACCCTTTCACTGTCTCGTACATAAATCTATGTTATTGATGCCTGGGTTGCATACATAGCTCTACACACAAATTTTAGTGGCTTCAGATTTGGCGTGAGAGGCCTGGTAGCCTACATATGAGAGAATGGGTCTTCATGGTCAGTGTGCACAGTATACAAAAAATTGTGGTAGCTGCAGTGCATTGTGGAAGAGCCGTATTTAACCCTTTGACTATCGAGACCTCTGCTCACAAACTTGCTCTCAGTGTCGAAGAATTTAAGAAAAAAAAAATGATTTTTTCTTATGAAATGATAGAGAATCTTTTCCCAATGGTATTGACACCAAAAGTACAAAATTTGGTTGAAAACTCACAGAATTACGCTCTCACTAAGTATGCGATCTCTGCAATATTTATGCATTGGCGATTTTGCCTACTTTGAGCCCTATTTTTGGCCAATTCTATTGTTCCAGTTGACCAAACTCATAGCTATTTCTTTAAAACTCTATTTGTCATATCGATCGAGTACAGGAAACCGCCCATTTACCGATTTCAACTACCCAATAAAGTGGTCAGAAATAGACAATTTGGTCAATTTCATGAAAATTAAAAAAGATGCCAATTTCAAAATAGGGTCCAGAATGAACAATACAGACATTCCTGGCACTAAAATAACATTTTCTCTGTTCATCAGTCATGGCTCCAGGCCCCTCTTATATTACTCTTGCTTTCTATTTTGAATTTTTATTCACACAAAAAATAGAAGATTTACTGTTATGCAGACTACTGCATTATTGTAATAATTGTATAAATAATATCAACCCATTCATGACTGCATATTAGAATGGCTAATTGGACATTTATTGGACAATGACGTCATTTGTTTACTCTTGAACATCGGCAAAAATTGAACATTTCCCCTACTTTGAGCTCAATTTTAAGGTCCTTTTCATCGTGAAATCAATCAAAATCATCTCTACTTCTGTAATATGTCTTCCATTCTATCAAATAAGACCAAGAAAATGAGAATACAACCATAAATACTATATGAAAATACCCCACAAATTTGGCCTTTTAATCCAATAACATGGTCGGAGTTTTTTTTTTCTCGTTATGCACTGTGTGCTACAGGATTTTTTTGTAATACTGCACACACTGACCACACACACCCATTTTCTCACATGTGGGCCTATCAGCTTTCTCCCGCTTGATTTGAAGCCACTAGAATTTTGGAGTATAAATGCGTATGTCGAAAACACTGGCTCATAAGTTGTATATATATGACCGAAATAATCAAAGGGTTAAAATGGTACACCTTGTTCACCATGCCACGTGGATGTAAAGGCCTCACTCCCAGGAGAATTGAACGGGTTTTAATACTAAGTGGTAGCTCCAACAATGAGAATTGTGGAACTATTGATGCATTCTTTGGTTTCAAATGTATAGTGAATGAAGGTGATGCTCAGGATGCCAGAAATATTACCAAAAACCTCAATGACCCACAACCATCCAGGTCTGGGGTTGGTTAATCTGGAACATATCCTCCTCCACCACGCCATAAGCAACAGCTCATATTATTTCATAGTCTGGGCTCAGATGTAAGTAATGGTGAGTGTGATGCGGACTTTGATTTCTTAGCAATTAATGACCAGTCTAGTAGTGATAGCAATGAAGATTATTCACCTGTGAAGCATCAGTTTTTATGGTGTTCCACATGGCCTGGTATTGTGCCCACTGTTATATTCAGGAGTGAGTACATTGTGGGACCCAACACTGGTGACAGATAGTGATAGTGAGGATGATAATGCATCAGTTAGGATGGGTAATAGACCACTAGCAGTGCCAGTACAGCATGCAGCAACAAGTGGTGATACAGTGAGGTATGGCAACAGTGCCATCCCAGGCTGCCTCTTTACCCACACAAGCACCACTAGCACATCCATGACAACCAGCCACTAATATCCAGCAATCACCACCGGCCTGGATCTGGGATTGGCAAGAGGATGCAAATTTTATGCCCAATCCCATTCAATTAGACAACACACACACAGTGGAATCCAGTCAAACAGTACCCTGGAGAATGATGCTAGTAAACTTGAAACCTTTGAGTTGTATTTTGATGAACTGCTGATAAAAATTATAGTGAGGGAAACTGATAGATACTTCCATTATATTATGGCAAACATGTTGGTTTCATCACAATCACACTTACACCAGTGTAAGACACAAATGTGGCTAAGATGTATCTCTATTTGCTACAATAATGCTTATGCTACATGTATATAAGCATATGTTGCATAAGAATAAGGGATTTGGACAGGCTGCAGGCCTGGTCCAGAAACTGGTTCCTGGAGTTCAACCCCACCAAGTGCAAAGTCATGAAGATTGAGGAAGGGCAAAGAAGACCACATACGAAGTACAGTCTAGGTGGCCAGAGACTACAAACCTCACTCAAGGAAAAGGATCTTGGTGTGAGTATAACACCAGGCACATCTCCTAAGGTGCACATTAACCAAATAACTGTTGCAGCATATGGGCTGCAAACCTAAGAATAGCATTCCAACATCTCAATAAGGAATCGTTCAGGACCCTGTACACTGTGTATGTCAGGCGTGTATTGGAGTGTGCAGCACCAGTTTGGAACCCACACCTAGCCAAACACATTCAGAAATTAGAGAAAGTGCAAAGGTTTGCAACAAGACTAGTCCTGGAGCTAAGGAGCATGTCCTATGAGGAGAGGTTAAGGGAAATCGACCTGATGACACTGGAGGATAGGAGAGATAGGGGATGATATGATAACCACATATAAAATACTTAGAGGAATTGGCAAGGTGGACAGAGACAGGATGTTCCAGAGATGGGACACAGCAACAAGGGGTCACAGTTGGAAGTTGAAGACTTAGATGAATCACAGGGATGTTTACAAAGTATTTTTTCAGTCACAGAGTTGTCAGAAAATGGAATAGTCTGGGAAGTGATGTAGTGGAAGCAGGATCCATACATAGCTTTAAGAAGAGGTATGATAAAGCTCATGGATCAGGAATAGTGACCTAGTAGCAACCAGTGAAGAGGGGGCCACAGGAACTGTGACTCAACCCCTGCAACCACAACAAGGTGACTGCAGTTTTCAGTCATATTGGTTGACTGCCTAATTTGGCACCCTGGAGTCTACCCAGAGGGTATTCCGGGGATCAGCACCCCCACCACCTGGTCCACAACCAGGCCTCCCGGTGGACCAAGGCCTGATCAACCAGGCTGTTACTGCTGGCCACACGCAGTCCAATGTATGAACCACAACCTGGGTGATCTGGCATCCACTTCAAGTATCTGTCCAGCTTCCTCTTGAAGGCAGCCATTGGTAATTCCCCTTATGCTTGGTGGGAGGCTGTTGAACCATCTTGGGCCCCGGATACTTATTGTGTTTTCTCTTAGTGTACCATTGGCGCCCCTACTTTTCATTGAGGGTATTTTGCATTGCCTGCCCAGTCTTTTACTTTCGCAGGGAGTGATTTCTGTGTGCAGATTTGGGACCATTCCTTCCAGGATTTTCAAAATGTAGATTATGATATCTCTCTCACCTGCATTCCAGCGAGTACAGGTCAAGCGCTTCCAAGCGTTTCTAGTAGTTGAGGTGTTTGATGGAACTTATATGAGCAGTAAAGGTTCTCTGTACTCTCTCCAGGTCTGCAAATTCACCTGCTTTGAATGGAGATGTTAATGTACAGCAATATTCCAGCCTAGAGAGAACAAGTGACTTGAAAAGGATCATCATTGGCTTGGCATCTCTTGTTTTGAATGTTCTCATTATCCATCCTTTCATTTTCTTTGCAGTTGTGATCGTGGCACTGTTGTGATCCTTGAAAGTGAGATCCTCAGACATTACCACTCCCAGGTCCCTCACATTATTTTTCTGCTCTAGTGTATGATCAGAGTTTGTAGTAGTATACTCTGTTCTAGTTATTATCTCCTCCAGTTTTCCATAACGGAGTAGTTAAAATTTGTCCTCATTGAACATCATATTGTTTTCCGTTGCCCATTGGAAAACTTGGTTTATATCTTCTTAGAGGTTAACCGTGTCCTCAATAGATGACAGTCTCATGCAGATCCTAGTATCATCTGCAAATGATGACACAGTGCTGTGGATTACATCTATGTCTGATATGAGGATGAGGAATAGGATGGGGGGCAAGTACTGTGCCTTGTGGAACAGAGCTTTTTACTATGGCAGCTTCTGATTTAACTCTGTTGACCACTGCTCTTTGTGTTCGATTGGTTAGAAAGTTGAAGATCCATCTCCCCACTTTGCCAGTTATTCCTTTAGCACTTATTTTGTGCTCTGTTATGCCATGGTCACACTTTTCAAAGGTTATTGCAAAGTTTGTGTATATTACATCTGTATTCTGTTTTTCTTCCAGTGCATCCAAGACCATATCATAGTGATCCAGTAGTTGCGAGAGGCAGGAGTGACCTCCTCTGAACCCACGTTGCCCTGGATTGTGCAGTTTTTGGGAATCAAAGTGGTTTGCAATCATGCTTCTTAGCACTCTTTCAAAGATTTTTATGTGGGATATTAGAGCTATTGGTCTATAGTTCTTAGCTAATGCTTTGCTGCCACCTTTATGGAGTGGGGCTATATCCATTGTTTTAAGTGACTGGAATTTCACCCATGTCTAAGCTCCTTCTCCATAGTATACTTAGGGAACGTGAAAGGGGTTTCTTGCAGTTCTTAATGAACACAGAATCCCATGAGTCTGGGCCCCAGGACTGAGTGCATGGGCATGTTGTCAATAGCTTTTTCAAAGTCTCTCGGAGTTAGGATAATGTCGGAAA